GCGGAGCGGGCGCCCCCCCCCCCCGGGCGGGGGCTCTCGCGGCCGGGGGCGGGGGGGGGGGGGGTGTCCCCGCAGCCGGGGGGGTCCCGGTAACAGGGAACCGTTTTTTCCAGGTCCGCAGCCGCAGCGAGGATGAACACGAGCTTCTTCCAGATACTAAAAGCAAAAAAAGAAGTAAGTTTGCCAGGGACGCTGGTTCTGCCATAACCCCCGTCAGCGAGGGGAGGCCGGCTGGCTCAAGCAGGTGCCCAGGGCTTGCCGTTTAATAACGAGCACCTCGTAGAGGAAATCGCGATAGCAAGGGGCGCGTGCGAGTTGAAATTCATGCATTGAAAGTGAGGCGGTGTGAATGGTAATAGAGATAATATACCTTAACGGGTAATCACACCTTAATTCCTTGTCACGCTCGCTCCCCCTATTCACGGCTCCGTAGCCAGGACACTAGTTCTGAAACGCTTTTCTCCATTTTATGTCTTTCAGCTCATTCCCCTGGTTGGAGTAGTGTCCTTCGCAGCAGTCGGGGCGCTCTCTTTTTGTGTCTATTCCCTGTTCAGCAAATCCGATGTGATGTAAGCAAAATACTTATTCCTTGGGGTTTACCCTAACCTTTGTTCGACAGAGGTATTTGACCATAATGTTTTGCACACAAAAAAAAAAATAATCCGTATGCATGTTCCAGACTACTGGTAACGACTAAGATATCAGCAGATTGTAAATACTGAAGAAATTAATAAATTTGGAGTGTAGTCCGAATTATTTCCTAACTTTTGATTTACTAGATTAGACTTTTTCTTTGCTTTAGGTGTAATAGGTTTTAAAAATTCTTATGAAGAATTTCAAATAATCAGATAGGTAGATGACATGCAGATATGTTGCAACCAGGCTATTCACCTGCATATAAAGAACAGCATTTGATAATATGAACTTGGAATATGTTAATATTTTAATGGCTTGGCTAATAATTGGAGCTAGGTCCTATACTCTAAGCTTTTGGGAATTTTTATATTTACTTTAAAGTGATTGGAGTAGGCATTTTAGCTATCAGGGTAAGAATCCCCTTACTTTTTTTCTGTGTCTTTATTCAGTTTTGATTTTTCAGCTTGCTTCCCTTACGATAACACATTATACTTGAACAATGTTGGCTTGTTTGGTGCTTCGGAAGCTACAAATAAAGCAAGCCATCACCGATTCCTACCCAGAATTTAAAACAGAAATGCCCAAACGTGTAAACTTGTGTTTCAGGGAACTGTTTACTTACATGAATAGTCCTACTGACGATAGACTGCTCATATAACAAAAATGTGTGCAAGATCACACCCTAAAACATGGTACCTGTTTTGCTTTATCTTCTCTTTAAGCATTAACAAGAGTGGCAATCCAGAACCGTGGGAAACTGTCGATCCTACCAAGCCTCAGAAGGTAATTTGTACAAATAATATAGTCAGCACAAATAGCATATATTTCCAACACAATTAATAACTTTATTTAAATGTGTAAGAACTAGCAAAATATTAATGAGGAAACAAATGTAAAGCTGACATACATCTATTTAAAAGTGGAACTAACTGCTTAATTCATGACTTTATGTAAAGTATCTTCCCTGTATTACTTAATGAAAGGGATGCAGCTATTACACTCTAGGTCTGATCCTGAACTTATGGTGTACTTCTGGTTGGTGTTTCCCCCTTCCCCCCTGCCCCCATCCATTTACTCAATTCCATTGATAACAGTGGAAATGTGGAGTATAGAGGAAATGCTGTTTACCCTTGCCTTGTTCCTGAATTACAAAATTGACTAAGAATGTTTTTGAGTACTGCAGCCTGAAGTAAAAAAAAAAATCTTAGTTTAGTAGAGCATCTAGGATAAGGAAAAATAAAATTATCTGGCATTATTACTTATTTAATATCCAAGTGATTTTGTTCAACAAATTATTAAATATGTCATCAGTTGCTATTTTTGCTTACTTCTGAAAGGAAAATGTAAAGCAACTAGAAATCCTTCTTCACCGATAAGTTGATGTATGATATGGGGAGGGGTGGGAGTAGAATAAATGCTCACTGGGATTTTGCTAATTTCTTTCATCTTTTCCTTTGACTTTCTTCCAGCTATTAACAATCCATCAGAAATGGAAACCTATAGAAGAGCTGGAAAATGTCAGAAAGCTTACGAAGTGACAACTTTCTGTTCCCTCAAAAAAGTACCCTATGAATCTAGTGGAATCACTTCTGCACAAACTTGACTACTGAAATCAGTGTGCGGAAATGCTTCTGCTACATTTTTAGGGTCTCCCTACATTTTTTGGACTCTGGATGAGGAGTTTCATGTTGCCTTAGAAGTTGGCATACAACATCCACACAGTCCAAAAATCTGTCTCAAATATTCATTTTCAGTAGACATTTGATGTCAAATGTTGAATATTCAGATGGTAATTATAGATGGAAAAAGCCTTCACGCTTTTTGTAGAATTTTGGTTTTCTCAAAATATGTGGATTTTGTAATTTTATATATTTTTAATAAAACATGTTAAGTATTTACAACATTCCATATAAATTCCATAAATGAAGATTACCCAAAAGCCCTTCTAAACTGGGATTCCTGGTCTGTTCCCTTTCTATACTGTGTTTCAATGCTGTATATGGACGAAATAGTCATCATAGCCAGAGGATGTCTGTATGGCAACGTACGTGGTCATAAAGTATACTTGCATTCATTTTCTACGTTAGATGTGATGACAATTTAAGTCAAAACTAATGTTCTACTGCTAATAATAAAACTTACACATGCACTCACTTTAACCCACTGAGGAGTCCAATAGGTTATTTAAGGGTGTATTTGAGACTGCAGGGTTAGAACATAAGAATTAAGCATGGGTAAAAGGAAATTGGAAATGAGAGAATTTCTGTTGTATTTAAATATTGTTCGTGTTTAAATTTAGAAAAAGTTACTAGAATTTGGAAACTTACATTATCCAAAACTAACTACATAATCTTCATTTCTTCTTTTTTGTGCAGGGTAGTTCACATGCAAGCTCAAATGTACTGTGCAGTTAACAATAGTTTTAAACATTTCTAGATACACGCTATTAGAGACATCCGCTTTAACAAAGCGAAAATAACATCCTAAAATTAATCCTAAAATTATCCTCTTTAAGCATCTGTGTTTTTTCTTATGGGTTGGCCAGGGAAAGAACGTAGTGGGCAGACTCCCAGTAAATTAATGAGGCAATATAGGCATCCAATGGTAGAACAGTGTATATTTTCTGAATGTGTCCCTTCCAAGCAGTTTCACAATGTATTATACAGTTTCTTTTACAATGGATGTTCAGAATGCATGTAACTTTCTGTGAGGAAGAAAGCAAAAGTGAAACAACTGCTATTGGGAAAAAGTCCCCGTGAGTGAGTAATAGTGAAGTGCTTTAGGTTACTCTGCTGCAGCAAAGGCAAAACTTAAGTTAGTAAAGCTGTCTCACAAATTTTAAGGTAGCTTGGCTTCAGAAGCTTTATGTTTTCTTCAGATTTATTGATGCTGAGGAAAAAAAAATATTATTTTATCTCATACTTGTGTGCAGATGCAGCATAAATATTTGTTTATCAAGTAAGGATGACTCAGCAGCATTTATGTTTAAGAGTGAGAGGAACTACAAGACTTCAGAATACATTCTTAGCTTTCATTTTAAGGAATGACATTGCAAGGTGATTCGATAGCATATAACCACAAAAATCCAGTGCTCTGAGGGATACAAGTTTTACATCTTTTAACAGAGAAATATTTTAAAACATCTTCTGTAAGTTATTCTGTATTTCTGTATTTTTACTGGACTGTATCAAGCAAAACAAAAAGTGCTGTGCTCTGAGTTGATGCATGAATTAAATGAGTTTGTTCTTCAGTAAATCACTTGTATGGTCTGTAAATACTATGACCTAAGTATCTGTCAACATTAGGGAAATAAGTGTGAGTCATTTTTATGTAATTTTTGTACTTAACTACTTTTCAGTGGTGTCTTCCAGTAGCACATTAAGCAGTATGACTGCCATCAGTCACAGGCTGTTGCTTCTCTCATCCTGTGCTGAAGCATAACAGCAAAGGTAATAGAATGTTTTGCTTCGTTAGCTGCTTTTTTTTTAAATATAGATTTGTGGGGAGGATTTTCACGTAATGTGAGAAATCAAAATATTTTTCTGCACTTCAAAAAGATTGAGTATTGTTAAAGTTCTTGGGAGAATTTTGTGTTTTCTCAGACTGTCACGAAAAATATTCTCTCCTGCACAAATGAGTTTTTTTTTTCTTGTAAGTAGAGCACATCAAGAGCAATTACTGTATCTCCCCCCATAAATCTATAAAGCAATACACAAATTATTGCCTTGTTCTACGAACATCAGAGTTAAGACAGTAAAGATTTAATTGGCTGACTTTTATGAGCTGACTTTTATGAGAACAATAAGGCTTCCATGTCCTAGGTTATGCAAACCCGTGACTTTTGATTCCATGGACAATCTAGAGGCCGTTGAAATAATTTAACAACTTTCTTCCTTCTCTCCATTTTGTTCTCTCCATTTTGTCTCCTACTACATTCTGTTCTTGGTTTTGGTTTCTTTAAACAATCGCTATCTTTGCTCACCCTGTCTAGTACTTTTCCATGGAACTGTATCACTTCCAACTTTCATATTCATTACAAAGTTTACTTAAAATGTTCACTGGCTTATTAGGTTTTCAAATATAGATTAGAAATCATTAGAAATGTTTTAATGGTTCTAATCACCATTAGAAATGCATCATTAGAATCTATAGTCATGCTTTTTTAACTGCAGGTGGCTGATAAGTAGTCTATTTGTAAATAGTTTTCTGGGAGAGTAGAAGGTTGCTTTCTGCAGTATACACACAATTATTAATTTATTACTAATTTTTGTTATTACAATAGTACTTAAAGGCTTTAACCACAACAACAGAAAAGCTGCAGTTATCCCAGAGCTGTGTTGAGCCGCAAGATGCTATTAGTACAGTACCGTACCATCTAGTTACTTCATTGGTGCGTGTGGTTTCTGTAGAAAATAGTAACTTACAGAGGGACCTGATGCAATCATTAAAGGAAATTGTTCATCCTGCAGTTGTCATCTGTCTCACTTGGTGCAGAGGGTTAGTGTCACTAGGACTAGCTGTAGAAAACAAACAAGAGTAATGGGAATGATTCACTGGATCTGGCCACTATTTGGTGTTGGACATTTCCCAAAAAAGCTTTCAGATTAAACAAACATGGCCACGCTACTCAGCACAGTTATAATTCACTGTCCAAAGCCTTTGCTGTACAGCACATCCCTGCCATACGGGGAGCGCACAAGATAACGAGATCACCTAAAAGTGTAACTGAAATGGAAATAAAAAAATGTTAACGAGGAAGCGGACTCTGGGTGCTGCAGTTGGACTAAGTAACTATTGACCTTCAGGTGCTGATGTGAGTAGAGAGCTGGCAGATTGTTTGCTGAAAGCTATCTCCCATCATGAAACGGCCATCGCCGCTAATTGCACCCTTCAAAGGAAGTCCAAAGAGTGAGCAGACACCCAGTCCAAAGAGCCGTCCTCCTGCGGTGCCTCGCCCCGACCAGAGATCACACACCTTTACAGCACTTCGTGGAGGCGGTACCAACCCTATTTATGCTGTACCTTGACCTGGTGGCCAAAGGGTTTTGGTTTAATTAGCTTTTACTTTTAGATAACCTTGTTACATGTATGTTCTGGCCAGAGCTGTTAATGGGGATGTAGTGTCCTTCTGCAGGGCTCACGGGGGACATGCAGTCCCTCTAAGGGCCCCTCATACAACACGGAGAGACCGGGGCCTGTGGCAAATGAAGCCATTATGAGTGAAAAGCCGCCCCGCAGCTGTTATTCACAGTGTCGCGCTGCCCATGGCCGTCTGCACCCATTGCCCGCTGCCACCCGTGGCTGCGAGGGAGCCTGAGGTGCCCGCCCTCCTTCCCTGCCGCTGCCGTCTCCCTCCGCGGCCTCTCGTGGGAGGGGGTGCTGGGCCGCCCGTGGGGGCGGGGGGCTTTTCTTAGGGCCTCACCTCCATTTTCCCCCGGACCACCGCTGAGAAGGCTGGTGGAGGCTGCTCCCTCACGTCCTGGGAGCTGAGGAGGGTGAGCCTCGCCGGGCATCGCTGTCGGATCACCTGTGAAATTGCCCAAAGCCTGCGAGCCTTCAGCAGCGCTGATGATTGCAGCAGGGAGAAGGCTTCTCTCTTGCCAAAAAAACAGGTAGAAGCAAAGCAAACCTCCCCTCCGGGTTTTGTGTCAATGTCTGATTTCCGGGTGTGTGGTTAGAGGAGCTGAGCTCCCTTTCTGTGGTGGTGTGCTGCCTAGATATTCAACAGTGTGTAAAGTAAAGGATTTGTCTGTGTGGCAAAAGAGGGAGTTGAAAGAAAGTGGTAACTGAGGTGTTAGGGGATACAGAGCTTTAATTGGTGTGGAGCTGTGTTAGCAAGTGAGAGTCCTAGAAATAATTTGTCTGGACTTTCAGGTACAGGTCATGTACCGGCTGATGCTGCCCATCTAGAAAATTAATTTAACAAAAAGCCCTCATTTGTTAGCGATGGGAGCATGCACAAAAGTTTTGGGTTGGTTTTCTCTTCATTTAAGACTTCCGAGGTTTGGCCCGACGCATGACGCAGGTGCTGTGGGACACAGCCATGGCCCTCCCGTTGAGGTGGTGCTGAAGGCCCCCTCATTCACAGCAGGCCTCTGCTCTTCCAGCCACCTGTCTGTAGCCTGGCAGGTGTCAGTCAGGTGTCCCGGCTTCCGCCGGTGTGGTTTGTGGCTCCCGATGAACCGGCCGGGGTGCACGGCGGCCGGGGTGCGTGGCAGCCGGTGCCAGCCAGGGCCAGAGCCGGGTCGCGTGTGGTGCTGGGCCTCCCGCCCCAGCTGTGCCTTGGGGCCGGGCTTGCAGGTGTGTGCCTCTCCTGGGTGACAACACCATTTCTGCTGCTTTTGGCCAAGATTTTACCACATGCGTAGTGTTCCCTAAAAAGTGTTCTGTATAAATATTTTAGACTGCATGATGCAATATTTTTAAGATAAAGCTAGTCATCTTTGTGACCTTGTTTCTATAAGGTTTAAAAAGTGCTTGTGAACATCTGTTAAAATTCAGATAAATGTGCTTCCAGTTTTACCAGTTGTCAAGCAGT